GCACATAACAGAGACAAGAATCACACCTGGCCTGGGCTGTGCTCCTATCCAGCTGCATGCTTCCAGGCTGTGAAGAGCTGTGGGCTGATCTCTTCCCCTCTGTGCCTTTATTTCCCCACCCATAAGACGAGGATAATGAAACCACCCAGCAATGAGTTACTGTGATAGCTCAGGAGATAGCACCAACCACCCACAGTTATCAGTACAGCCATTTCAGTTTCCATATTAAAAAGCCCTCTCCCCTCTATAGCTTGCTCACCCGCAGGGAAATCCTGCCCTGCCCCTCCATCTCCCTCTCTTCTACTTTGCTGCACCCTCTTCGGCCTAAACACACCTGTCAGCCCCTCTGAAAAGATAGCAACATCCCAGCAGAAGTCCAACAGCACCACTGTCCATACAGACCTGCTCTGCCCTCGTCTCCTGGCACTCCAGCCCTTTCCCCTCAGGCTTGGTATAACCTCTTGCCATGACCTAGCTGCTAACATCCTGGCAATGGCCAGGCTGAATTTAGCTCAGTGCTCAGAGAGGCACCCTGGGTGCTGTAGCAAGGCTGTTGTTCAGTAGCTCCTCAAACTGAAGTTGCATGATTGGCGAATCTGGGTAATGAAGCCATCCCCAATTAGAGCACTGATCAGCTGATGGCCTTGCAGCTGCCTTAGCAGCTACTAATCCCCTAAAGGTGCACTCCTGCCCAACCCACAGCATGGAGACAGTCCTGAATTTGCCCACCTCCTCTCTCATACACTCTGGCTGCAGTCAGCTCCATCTTTCCAGAGAGACCGAGACCATCCCACAAGACCCTCCCCAAAACCACTGGAGACGCAGCGGTGTTCAGTCCTCATGTTTTCCAGATGTACCTCACCATGCCAAATTCCCAGCCCTGAAGAGTCTGGGTATCTACAGAGTGGCAAAGCTTTCAGTGTCCTCAGTGGGCAGCCTGCACTAGCACTGCCTGCAATTCTTAGCTAAACTAAGAAACCGGAATTCATTTGGCCCCTGGCACCAAGCAGGAGGGAGGCATAAATGAAGACCTGCAGTGAAATGACTCAAGGCAACTGTAATAAGGCTCACAGAGCGGGCAGGGCTCCTCTGTCTTCTACCTGGCAACACACTTCGATCAAAACCACTGTAGCCAGGTCAACATGACCAGCGGGGGCCAGATCAGAACTGCCAAGGCAAGGCCCAATCCCTTGAGCCAATTTACACCTGGATGAGAGTACACATAGTGCCTTGGACTGTGCAGGACACCCCAACCCTACTCCCACTCCTTGCCACCCAAGTCACCCTTGGAAAACAGGGCCTGCTTGGCAGAAACTAAAATAAGACCCCAGAATTCATTCAGCCCCTGCACCAGTTAACAATGAGGCATGAATTCCAGCCAGCCATTACAACCAGCAGGTCGGTCTCACCACTGACGGACAACATATGAATTGCCGTCACAGCAGGGATGAATTTGCCCTGTATAACTATCAACAGGGGCACTGGAGAAGGGGCAGCACTGGGGAAAGGGACATTTCTGAACCTCCTGTAGACACGGGGACGTGCAGAGTGCAGGTTAGCAAAGAGATGAGACCCAATGTGGCCCTTCGGGCTTAACATGCTAGACACAAGGAGAGGGCTGACATGAGGCTGATACAGCATAGTCAAGTGCACAAACCAGTGTGCCTCAATCCTCAAATACAGCCTACCCCCTGGTATCCTGTCTCTAGACTCACCCTGTGACCTCCCACAGCATTGGGGGCTGGTGCTTTGCTTGCCCTGCCATACTTACAGTCTCTACTGTACAAATGTGGACTAGGATTTTTCAAAGGATAGTCACTCAGCTAAATTTGGGCAAATTTTCAAACTTGGTGCACCCTGACAGAAGGCCATTTCACTGCCAAATTTCAAAGTCCCTGCTCTAAACCATTGGGATGCTGGAGCTGTTAAAAAATAGTGGTCCAAATGTTTTATTATGAGGCAAAATAATATGCTTTTCCCAGCATCGCTCTGAAGTGGTTGAACCATTTGAACGGAAACCTTTCAAATTCCACCTGAGGCAGATACCAGCAGGAAAAATAGCCCAAATAGTTACCATTTAGCAAAGTTATAAACAACTGAAAACAGAACGTTAATGAGAACTGCCAGAACCTGGACAGCAGGGCAGCACTATGTTTCATACTGCACTGATGGTAATGCAGGACTGGAAGGTGCTCAAGTACTAAGTGTGGTGATTAACATCTGTCACATAAGGAGCCCTTTTCCTGGACTTTCTTGAGTGACAAGTAATCTTTAAGGTCACTAGAGTGGAAAGAAGTTGGGGTGGGGGAAACATTTCTTTGAGTTTGTTTCTTTGTGCACTGAAGCACACTTCGGGTGAAATACTATTATCCTTTGTGCACCTAAGTGGTACTTACCAAGTGGTATAAGTGGCTTTTTGGCACATGTGCCCAGTTTGCAATTCTATTACCCCTTTAATGAGGATGCATAAGCATACATGTATATACTGAGAAAGCTCAGTAGGCCACACACTGCCTAGGCAGGTATGTGGCTATGTGAACACACCCAGTAGCTTTGAGCACTGACTCAAAGGGGGCACAGCCCTACTAGGCTGCAAAAGCCTTGGCTGTCCCTTGCTGCTGGCAACAGGAATCAGGGGCACTCAGGGAAGGGGTAGGCACTGTGGGTTGTGAACCAAGGGCAAAAGTCACTCAAAGCTACTGGGGGCTTGTGTCCCTCATTCCTTTATGAGTACCAGTTTCCTCAACCTCACACCACCTGGGAGACATCACTGCTGCAGAGGCAGGTGTTAGTAAGATCTGCAGCCAGGAGCTTAATGAAGCCCCTACTGCAACTGCTACCTTTAAATCACTAGGCGGATGGGGCAAGTCAGGTGAGGATTGAAAGGGTCTGCTGTGTTAATCCCCTGGCTGCTGGCTATGTCAACACCTCTCCCCCACAGCAGCTTCCCGCAAACTTGAGTTAGTGCTCTGCCCACAACCCCTGGGGACACATAGATCACAAAACTATAGCTGGACAAAAGCCCATGATTAGTGGATGTTAGGGTCCAGAAGGGAAGCACAACCACTATCCAGCAAGTGAGTACAGTTTTAATAGTCAGCTTTGCCAGGTTGTGCTTCTCTTTGGTTGAGCTTCCTTTCCAAGTTTTAACCCCCAGAGGCAAGTGATTAGGACACTCACCAAGAAAGATGAAGACCCAGGTTCTAGGCTCTCTTCACTTGGAGGGGGTTTGAACCTGTCTCTCTTTGACTGCTGTAACCACCAAGCCACAGGTTAGGCATTGTCCAGTCTTCTCCAGCCTTCCTTTTGAAGCTGTCCCCCTTGGCAGCCAAGAAAAGGAAATACATGGGGCCAAGAGGAAAAGGACAAGCTAAAAGGCAAGTGGTTCAGTGAGATGGATGCTGCTCTAGAAAGGAGCAGGCCTTGGGTTCCAGTTCGGACCTCTGTTGTCAATGGTACACTAACTGCTGTACTGCTCTCCATCCAAAACCTCTCAAATGCAAGGTACAGTGGTTCAGCTTCACGAGGGTGCTCCTTCTCTCCGCCCCCCCCCCGACTTATACTCAGGTGGGTGCACAACTGCCCAATCAGTGCACACGCTTTACACATCCATACTATAGGGGTAATGAAACTGCAAACTGCCCACAAGTCCCAAAAACACCACTGACGTGTCCTGAAAATGGTGACTTGGGTGCACAAAGTGAAACAGAATCATGCCCCTTGACTATACAGGAGAAATCGAGAAAGCTGACCACACACAATTTCTCCTTTGCTGAAAAATCCCCTCTGAACACCCAGAAGGTAGCCTTAATACAATGCTTTTAAAACAGGATTAAAAATAAATACATGTCAAGTCATTCTATCTAAAGGCACCTATATTAGAATATATCCTCCCCACCCCCAGTAATACTCCATTTCAAAATGCTCCAGGTGACCATTCATCTCACCGATGAGGGATGAATGCAGAGCCTTGGTTTCTGTATACTGCCCCACAGCATCTCTGGCCTTTCAGCTGAGCAAATAACACAGGTGGCTCTAGACTGCACTCCAAGCTCAGTGTCAGCACAGCACAAATGCAGAGTAAGCCCCCGTTACTCAAAAGGAGTTATCCTGGATTTCTTCTGGGCAACACAAAAAACAGAATCTGGCACCTCTATGAATTTAAAAGAAATATGAAGAAATGAGACTTGAAAAACCCCAGTGCTGTTTCAGTGTGGATTTTACTGAGAGGTGACCTGCTAATGCATTTAAATCTGAAATGGAAAAGGAAGGAAAACACAAAACTTTCCCCAAGAGAAGCCCTGGGGAAATCTTACATAACTGCTTTCTCAAGGCTTGTTCAAGCACTGCTCTCCTGCGGGTCCCTCCTCACTTAATGGATCCAGTTAGGATAGCGTATGATTTTCTGCCACTAATGGACTCCTCAAAAGCACCAGTGAGCTGATGCCACTTGTTTGGGTGATGAGTGGATTACTGCACTCCAGCAGCTGAGCGCTGCGTGCCAGCTTCATACATGTCTCCTGTTACTGACTTCCGATCTTTCTTTGAAGTCCTTGCCTTAGGGAGAGGCATTTATGACTGGGCAGGGCAGTCCAGCAGGACAAACTGCTCTGCCCAGCTCTCTGACCAGATCTGCTCCCAGAGGCTCTTCCTCAGGCGCTGCAGAGGAGCACTCTCCCCGCTGCCTTCCTGATAGGTGGAGATAGACAGCAACCCTGCATTGCCCTGAACTTCCACTTCTTCCTCAGGCGCCAAGCACTTCCCTGCTTATTTCTTACAAACAGAGGAAGAAATTGCGGTTCAGGCTGTTGCTTCACAGGCCATGTTTGTGAAGGATTTCAACACTGGAGCCCTAAGAAGTCAGCACCCACAAGCAGATCCTAACCACCTGTGCTCAGCTTCCAGCTGCTCCCAGCAGAACCCCAACAGCCAGATTTTCAGATCAGCTCCAATCCCAGAGCATAGACATTTCTTCAAAAGCTGGACATTTCACCTGGTACCTAGGCAAGAACTGGGTCCTGAAAAGTTTGGCTTGTGTCCTTCTGCTGTGCAAGGATCAGCACTGCTCAGTCTAGGGTTCGCGAGATGTGAGGAAACCTGGAAAGGAATGGGAAGGGAACAGAAAGATTTGGTATGTAAGCTCCCAGGGCCACATCCAGCTCTGTAGAGTACAAACAGCTGAGCATGGTCTGACCTGCTTCCCAGTTCCATTGTGCAGGGGCAGTTGGAGCTAAATGATGCAAGGAATCATTTATGCAGGCCTAGGTTCACATCCTGAACAGGATTCAAGTGAGAAGAGATGAGGAGGGCTAACTTACCTCTGCTTGCCTGTGGTGAGGAACTAATACAGTTTGGTGTTCCCTGCTCCAAGCAGACCCAGAATTGGCACAGCAAGATCTGCTGCAGTTCAGGATGCAAATAATGAGTCTAATAAAGCCCCAGGATATGAACAAGAGGCCTGACAGCCTAGAAGAGGAGGATGGTTGATGTTTTCCAGACCACATTTTGTGCCTTCATACAGAACAAGGCTTCACCTCTCTCCAAATGGTAATGGCAAGATCTGCCCATACTGGGACTCACATGCATGCTGGCCCTTTGGAGTAGCACCATTAAGGCGACCAAGCTGGGCAGTTACATTTATCCCTTTTGGCTGTTGGCCCTGCAGACAGCTTGCTGTGTCACTGTCACTCCTCAAATCAATAGCATCTAGGGCATCACTTGGGGTTCGGCTCAGGAGCATCTGCTTGCCTCTACTGAAGGAGCCATCGATACATAGATAGCCCTTCTCAGCTGCAAGCACTGACTAGTAAATTGCAGACCAGAGCCTATGTTCCCTGAGACTATGAAGTTAAAGTAATACTTTTATAAAATCAGAATCAGAGAAGCAGGGCTGGAAGAGAACTCCATAGGTCTAGTCCAACCCCTGCCTAAGGCAGGATCATCCCTATCCAAACCTTCCCATATAAATCCATTGTCTCTTAGCAAAGTGACAGTCAGCCCTGACAACACAAAACATAACACCCTAACCTGCCACAGGAAAAGCAAAAGGACCATGGCAGCCGAAGTCCTGCTGCTGTAAGGGTTGTGAACCTCCACTCGAGAGATCCCAGGAAAAGGGCCACACCCCACACCACAGGGGAAGGGAAAAATCCCCAAAGTCCATACTAGTCTGATCCTGGTGTAAAATGCCTTCCCAGTCCCAAATATGGTTGTTGGTCCAACCCTGAGCAGAGGGGGGAAGATCCTCTAGCCAGGAACCTCTGGGTTTCAGTCCCAGGAGGAGCACTGGCACACCCCAGCCAAATACCCAATGCCTGTGGAAGGCTTAAAAAACCCAAAAAAACAAACCAAAAAAACCCCAAACCCAAACACCACCACCACACACAACACAGCCTGACATGTGGGGGGAGGGCAGGGCAGGGCAGGGCAGGGCGAATTCCCTCCCAGACCCATGCAGCAATCAGCAAAGCCCAGAAGCATAAGAAATACCCAGAGCACAACACAAGCATAGTCATGCCTAGATCATCCCTGATCAGCAGCTCTTTGTGAACACCTCCAGTGATGGAGAGTCCACAGCTTCCCTGGGCAGCCTACTCCACTGCTCACTGTTTTAACAGGGAAGAAGTTTCTAATATCCAATTTAAACCTACTTTGCTGCAACTTCAAGTCATTGGTCCACGTCCTACTCTCTGCAGCAAGAGAGAATGTGTTTTCCCTTCTTTAAGGCAGCCCTTCAGGTATGTGAAGACTGCTAGCATGTCCCCTCTTAAGTACCTTTGCTGCAAGCTGAACATGCCTAGCTCGCTCAGTTTCTCTCATATGACTTACTTTCCAAGCCCTTTATTATTTGTGTGGCCCACATCTGGAGCCTCTCCAACTTCTCCACGTCCTTTTTATAAAACGTGGGGCCCCAAACCCCGCTCATCTAGAGTACTGTGTGCAACAAGGGGGTTCATCCCTGTTACTGGGGACACACTGTGAGACAGAGCCGAAGGGCTACCCTTTAAGACTAGGACTTTTCAGCCATAAGGGGTGAGAAGAAAGACTTCAAGATGTTAATGTCCATCTCCTATGCAGGGCCCGAAGACAAAAGTAGACTTGTATTGAGTCTGTGACCTATCAAGACTCCCAGGTCCTTTTCCATAGCACTGCCATGCAGCAAGGTGTCACCCATTTTGTAATTGTAGTTTTGATTATTCTTCCCAAGGTGTCGCATCTTGCATTTGTCTGCATTGAATTTCACCCTGTTGGCTCCAGCCTAGCTTTCCAATCTGTCAGGATCCTTCCAAATGTTACTCCCATCCTCCATGTTCACAATCCTCCCCAGTTTCACATCACCTGCAAACTTGCTCAAGAAGCTTTCTATTCCAGCATTCAGGCCATTACTAAACACACTGAACACACTGGGCCCAGGACAGATCTCTGTGGCACTCCATTCAAAGCCACCTGCCACTCTAACATGGATTCATTTATTATTACCCTTTGCCTAAGGCTATTGAGCCAGTTTCTCCATCCACCTCATAGTAGTTTTCTCCATCCCAAGTCTCCAATATGTTTATGAGAAGTTCATGTGGGGCCCTGTCAAAAGCCTTGCTGAAGTTCACTGCATCACCTTCATCCAAAGTAGTTACACTGGTCAAAGAAGATGATCAAGTTTTTGTTTGACGTGATTTGTTCTTAGTAAAACCATGACGGCTACTTGTGATCCAACTTTCCCCCTTTGGATGCTTGCAAACGGCCTTCATTCAGATATACTCCAGTAACTTCTCAGGTATTGAGGTGAGGCTAACCAGTCTGTCCTTTTTGCCTTTTTTTAAAGAAAGGCACTACATGACCTCTATTACAGTCCTCTAGTACCACACCAGTCTCCCGCAACTTCATGAATTTCATTGCCAAGGGCTCTGGGATCTGCCCTGCCAGTTCCTTCAGCACCCTGGGACGGAGTCCATCAGGCCCTGCTGATTGAAGTTTTCAGACCCATCAAAAGTTCTCTGGCTTTCCTGTTAATCTGTTCCTTCAGCTTGTTCCCTTCCTTGTCCAAATAATCCTTATTATGTATCTAGCTGCAGCTTAATTTTTTTTCACTGCATTTGGAGCACAGCATCTGCAAAAGGGCAGAAAACCCCTTGCCCCTGACACAGGCTGGGTGACCATAGAATAAGGGTGACCTGGTCACTGAGGGCTCCAAGGCAGACGTGCGTAGGTGATCGTGGGTGGGAATCATGCTTGTGTGAAGCAACTGTTGTACTGGGTAGAAAAATCCAATCCTCCTGAGGCTAGGAGTGCTGCCTCTGCAAGGGTAGCAAGGCTGTGCGTAATCATCACAGATGATGCAGCCCCTCACTAGCAGGCAGTGCCATGCCCTTGACTCTGACCTCCTTAGTGACAATCACATCAGTCCCCTTAAAGAGAAATGCGTCTGTGAGCCATTCAGTAGGTACCATGGACCCAATGCATTCCAGTACCAGGGCTAAGGACAGGGGCAAAGGGCTCCCCACATCCTGGGAGTCAATTCAACTCCTATACAGGTCAGGGGAGATGGGGCCTCTGACAGACGGGAAGTACGCAGGGCATAGGGGTTCCTCAGCCACCCCACCTCTATGCCTGGCCTGCCATGAGTACAGGCACTGAGCCAGCGCTACTCTTGCATGAGACCCCCTGTATAACTAGCTCTTCATACCCCAGTGTGAAAAGGATCTGCAGCTTTCTCCACCAACCCAGAACACACAGGGGTGCCATATGGGGGCCAGAGCAGGAATACCCCCAGAGCAGCTCCACTGGGGTAATGAAGGCAAGACTCTTTTGCAGGGAGATGGAGGGGGGAGTGCTACATAGCTGCAGGCCCATCAGTCCTACTTCCCCAGCGTGCTAAGATGCAAGAGCTGTGCAACCCAGCACACAGGGATGGCACAAATGCCAAGAAAACGGAGTTTCCCCCAGTCCAAACCTCTCCCACCATTGCAACAGCAAGGCAGTTTGACAGCATAGCTGCTGCAATAGGAACCGTTTGCCCACTCCTCCTCCTCTGATGCTCCCCTCAGTACCTTCCTGTAACCTGCAAGGCTCCCTGACTACTCAGCATGACCAAATCACTTGCTGCAGCATCAGGCAAACTCCAAGGGACGCACTTGCCCCTTCCCGCAAGCTCTGCCCCTACTCTACTGCAGACAGGGAACTCCTGGGCTCCAGGTGCTGCACAAAAACCGGTACTTCCCCTTCTTGAGGGGGATTTGGGGGTTTTCTGCCAGATGCATCCTCTTGCCAGGTCTTTATTCACCAAGGGACAAAATAATTAACCCAGGTGCAAACTACAGCTGGAAAGTGCAGAGAAATCTGCCAGCAGATTGCTGAGAAACAAAAAAACTTTCTGGCTCTGCAGTGCCTGCCTTCCCAAAGGAGTGATATGCAGACTTCATGCAGTGGGTCACTTCTCCCACCACTGCAATGCAACCTGCTCTGGGGTATCGCACTGCAGGCAACTAGCAGCCACCTGGCAAGGCTTACTATTAAGACAGGGAGAGAAGAATAGCACCCCCAGCTAGGGCCCACAGGGAATGCACGGAGGGGCACAAGGAACCTCCCTAAGCCCCGAGACCGAAGCACATGTTAAGATCCACATTAATCTGCACATGTCTGTTAACATCCATGCAGTGAAATGCCAGCATTTGGTTGTCAGAAAAGTGAAAACCACCTCTCCTTTCTCAGCTATCATACTCCTGGGCATATCTGTCAGAGGCCAGCATCTGCTCCTGGGCACCCTGCAGTGTCTGCTCAGCTGAGGGGAGGGAAGGAGCTGACTTCCAGCCTCTCTTATGTGGCATCTACAGGATTGTTAACCAAGTGCCAGCTGCAAGGCAGGAGCAGAAATCTGTTTCTGCACATGGCCGCTCCTACCAGTGACACAGGTGAACTACAACCCAGGGGTGGCAGCAGCCCAGGGATTCCTGGTGAGGGAATTCAACCTTGAGGATCTTTTCCTGAAGATGATGGACAAGTCAGAAACTCCAACATGACTCTGCTGCAGCTAGTGTGTAGTAAGGTGAAAAAGCGGGTAGCACGAGTCACTGGAGATGAGCTGGGGAGTATGCTCACATGAC